ACGGGAAGGGGCTGCCCAGGGAAGGGGTCGAGTCCCCAGCCCTGGGGGGATTTAACAGCCGGGCAGAGGCGGTGCTGAGGGCCAGGGTTTGGGGGTAGGATGGCAGGGGTAGGGGGGCGGTTGGGCTGGGGGAGCTTCAAGGGCTTTGCCAACCCAAATGCTTCTGTGATTCTGTGATTATATCCTCTTCGTCCTGTAAGAGCAGTCCATGAGATGCCTGCTCCGATAGCAGGGATAGTGGCAGACGTGTGGTTATACACCACAGAGAAGGATTTAGTCCCCAATGGCAACGAGGACTGTGGAGTGACCTGCTGCCAGGAGAAATGGAGCTGATCTTTATGAAGCAAATTTCTGGAAATACTTCCAGTACCGTATGTAGACCAGGCGGGGAAGCATTTTCAAAGCATGGTGAGGCACTGGAGAGGGGAAAGGGGGCTTAAGCTTATTAGAAACTGGGGAAGCTTTTGGAATAAATAAAGCCTAAGCAAGAGGAATGGACTCTGTCTAAATCCAAGTGGAATCCAATTTTTGGCTCTTATGAAAAGGTTATGAAAGTTTTTAAACTGGAACAGGGGAGAAGCTTGATAGGTTTGGAAGGACACGCAGCTCGGAAGGATGCACGCCGTGGAAATGGAATCCTCAGAATGCTTTAGTCTTGAAACGTCAGTAGGGTGGAAGTTCAGAGGGAAACTGCAAAGAGGAAAACTCGGCAGTAAATCCCCATCTAAGCACAGCACGCAAAACTCGGCAGCCAGATGAAGATCTGTAGCAATCAAAGCACCGTATGAGCTATTGGAACTGTGGTGTCTGCTTAAAACGAACTCGGTGGCATTCTAGGGAGTCTCCTAAACCTGCTGAGAGCCTGCGGTAGTGAGAGCACAGCTTACAGGAACGGCAGTGTAGGCCCTGCCGGTGGCCAAGCGGGCCGTGGGGGCAGCCAGATCAGTCAGCTGCGGCGCGGCAGCCTTACGGGTTGGGATGCCGTGCACGCGTAGAGCTGGGTGAAGCGTTGGATCTGACGGCGTCAAACCTGGAGTCTGTGAAGGCTGCAAGAGCAGAACGTGCCTTAACAACGAGCGGTTTCATTTCTCCCCTGTTGACAGGGTATATATCACAGGGAGGCACGGTGCATGAGTTTTTCGGAATCGTGAATGCCTTTTGCATGGAGCAGTGAGCCAGAAAAAGGAGAAACAACTCTCATATACCCTTGGGGGCTCTAAGAAATGTAGCTGTTGTAAAATCACTTTGTAAAAGAAACCATAATGTACGCAGATTTAACATCCTCATAGGAGCAAGACAGACATAAACAGCATTATGAAGGGCTTGGGGTTTGTTTTTCTAACTCGTAGGAATGGAGCTACGTAAATATGGGGAGGCTGCTTAGGAAGTAAATGTTGCTGTGAATGGGTACAAAGCTCACAGCTGGCCTGGAAACATTTTAGTGGCTCGTGGTAAATGCAGAGCTTGTATTGCAAAGGTTTGAAAAAGTCCCTAATGTAGAAAACTGGCTTGGTTAAAACCAACCCGTTACAGGTAAAAGTACCCCCTCGAAAAGGGAAGTTGGGAGGTTTTGTCTGGACGTGGGAAAAATGATATTGTGGCTGGTTAATCTGAGACTGGATGAAGGGATTTGAAGGAGCAGTTTGCTAAAGGCAAACCCACTCAGATGCTAAACCCATCAAAATAAGGAAGACTCTCCGAGAACGTGTAGGCTGGATGGGCAATCCGAGTGTAAAAAGGAAGATGGGACCATGGCAGAACATGTAATTAAACTGCATTGGTCCTCACTTCAGGACGTCTCGGGAGATTCCCAAGTGGTGTCTTTCTTTCCAGGGGAATAGGCTGAGGAACCGTCTCAAACTGGAGCATCTGTGGAACAAAATCAGTGGAACGATGCTTAGGACTGGCTGGTATTCACCCGAGCGATTTAAAGGGATTCAAATACGAAATCACTCACCTGGTCAACCTTAAAACCAGTGGAATGGAAGCGGCAAATCGGGCACCAGTTCCTCAGGAGGGTCTGCGAGCCAGTAAATCCACTTCTGCATTGTGCACGTTGAAAAACTTAGGGTATAGCATGAGGGTTGATAGACACCTCTGTAAACGCAGGCTCTCGGCTGTGCCACAGCGCTGCTTCTGCAGAGGGAGCTGAGTTCCACGGAGTCAGTGAAACACATGGATAACGGTGATAGGCCTAATGCGGCGTCAGGACAGTCCTGAAAAGATAAGGTGATCAAAGGCCATTGAAAATGAGCTGTCATGGGATAACAGGGAAGGGTTCTGTCATCAACTAACAACTGTTTAAGGAGGCGAAATACAGATGAGGGAAAACGGCCAGTTCCAGCCTTCTGGGTTTGCACTGCTGAGTCCTGTGCTGTTTGGTCCATTCACACCTGGGCAGAGTCTGGTTGGAGGCCAATAGCTCGTGGGGTTCCCCAGGGCTCAGTGCTCAACCCGGTCTTGTTCAATTTATTCATCAATGACCTGGACGAGGGGACAGAGCGTGCCCTCTGCAAGTTTGCCGACAACACCAAACTGGGAGGAGCGGCTGATGCACTGGGAGGCTGCGCTGCTATCCAGCGGGACCTAGCCAGGCTGGAGAGTTGGGCGGGGAGGAACCTGATGGAGTTCAACACGGGCAAGTGTGGGGTGCTGCCCCTGGGGAGGTGGAACCCCAGGCACCAGGACAGGCTGGGGGCTGACCTGCTGGGAAGCAGCTCTGCCCAGAGGGACCTGGGGGTCCTGGGGGACGACAAGGTGGCCATGAGCCAGCAGGGTGCCCTGGTGGCCAAGAAGGCCAATGGCCCCCTGGGGTGCATCAAGAGGAGCGTGGCCAGCAGGGCCAGGGAGGTTCTCCTCCCCCTCTGCTCTGCCCTGGGGAGACCCCACCTGGAGCACTG